TTATTGATGAAGAAAAATTTAAAATGTACCATTCACATAGAATGGACTGTAAAAAGTACTATACTATTGATGGAGAACCAAAACAGAATTCAATTGCCGTTACAAGTCACGTGGCTTGCGTGTGTCCCTTTCTCTCTCTGACACTTTTCTTCTTTCCGCTAAGCTAAACCCCTTCCCCCCACATGGCGCTTCTCCTTCCTCCGTACCTCCATATTTTTTCTGTTTCATTTCCTCCACTTCCATGGAGTTCTACCCTTTGATCCGCTCTAAATACTAAGTCTTTCCTTGGTTTCAAAGCTCTCTGCTTTTCTCGCTTTTGGCCATGGCGTTTCGCGGTTTCTTTCGCTTCCCCTGTGTGGTGGTTCATTTCTTCTTCTTCTTGTTATTGGTTTCCGTCATTGGAGAGCAAGAAGGGAGAAACCCAGAACGGCAAATTCTGTTTTCTTTTAAGGGTGCGCTGCAAAGTCCGCAGCTGCTTTCTTCATGGAACCGTACGACTGACCACTGCGACTGGGCCGGTGTCACGTGCCAACGGGGTCGAGTCACAGCTCTTGCTCTTCCGGGTCGGTTTTTGAGAGGTCCTCTTTCGCCGTCGCTTTTCTTTCTTTCCGGCCTTACCGTCCTCGACTTGTCTTTGAACCTTTTCTATGGTGAAATCCCTCCGCTGGTATCCAACCTGAAGAGTTTGAAACAGCTATGTCTTGGGGATAATCAGTTATCGGGGGACTTGCCTAGTCATCTGGGCGGGTTGACGCAGCTGGAGACCCTGAAACTCGGGCGCAACTTTTTGGCCGGAAAAATTCCATCTGAGCTTGGGAACCTGAAAAGTCTTCGCACACTGGACCTCTCCGGCAATGCACTTTCTGGGACAGTGCCGAGTCAACTCGGGGACTTAACTCGGCTTCAGTTCTTGGACTTGGGTAATAACGTTCTTTCCGGTTCTCTCCCTTTATCTCTGTTTGAAAACCTACAGTCTTTATCATCGTTGGATATTTCCAACAATTCCTTCTCTGGTGAAATCCCGCCTGAAATTGGTAATTTAGATAGCCTCACTGATCTTTACATTGGTATTAACCATTTCACTGGGGGGTTGCCGCCGGAAATCGGAAAGCTTTCACTGCTTGAGAACTTCTTTTCTCCATCTTGTTCAATAACAGGGCCTTTGCCTGAAGAACTTTTCAATTTGAAATCACTGAGCAAGCTCGACCTTTCTTATAACCCATTGAAGTGTTCGATCCCAAAGTCCATAGGGAAGTTGCAGAATTTGAGCATATTGACTCTTGTTTATGCTGAGATCAATGGGTCAGTGCCACCGGAGCTTGGAAATTGCACGAAGTTGAAGACTTTGATGCTGTCATTCAATTCATTATCTGGGTCCTTGCCGGAAGAGCTTGCAGAGCTGCCCGTGTTGACATTTTCTGCTGAGAAGAACCAGCTTTCAGGACTATTGCCTTCGTGGATTGGGAAATGGAACCACGTTGAGTCGCTCTTCCTTTCCAGCAACAGGTTTTCAGGTGAAATCCCATCTGAGATTGGAAATTGTTCTATGTTGAAGCACCTTAGTTTGAGCAACAACTTGTTAACGGGTCATATACCAAGAGAGTTGTGCAATGCTGGGTCTCTCTTGGAGGTCAACCTTGATGGCAATTTCCTTACGGGGACCATAGACGATGTGTTTGTGAAGTGTACTAATCTTACCCAGTTGGTCTTGATTAATAATCAGATCAATGGCTTCATACCGCAGTATCTTTCAGAGCTCCCATTGATGGTTATTGACCTTGACTCAAACAATTTCACCGGTAGCATTCCTCTCAGTTTATGGAGTTCTAGTGACTTGATGGAGCTTTCTGCTGCAAACAATCAGTTACAAGGCTCTCTGCCTAGAGAGATTGGTGATGCAGTTTCCTTGGAAAGGCTTTTTCTTGGTAACAATCAGCTGAATGGTACTTTACCAAAGGAGCTCGGCAATCTCACTGCTCTCTCCGTGCTGAACTTGAACTCTAATCTGTTACAAGGGAATATACCAGTTGAGCTAGGAGGCTGCATTTCTCTAACCACATTAGATCTTGGGCATAACAATCTCAATGGGTCGGTTCCAGCGGAGCTTTCTGACCTGGAGCAGCTGCAATGCCTGGTTCTTTCTCACAATAATTTATCAGGTTCAATTCCTTCAAAGCCATCCTCATACTTTCGTCAAGCTAATATGCCTGATTCAAGCTTCCTTCAGCATCATGGGGTCTTTGATTTATCCAACAATAAATTGTCTGGCTCAATACCTGAAGAATTGGGAAACTGTGTTGTGGTGGTGGATCTTCTTCTCGGCAATAATATGCTCACTGGCAAAATTCCTGGATCACTTTCTCATTTACCTAATCTTACAACCCTGGATTTGTCTGGAAATTTACTTTCAGGTTCTGTTCCAGTGGAATTTGGTGATTCCCTCAAGCTTCAAGGCTTGTATTTGGCTAATAACCAGCTCACAGGTACCATCCCTGGAAGCTTAGGTCTTGTGGGTAGTTTGGTGAAGCTGAATTTAACTGGCAACAAGTTATCTGGCTCTGTTCCTGCCAGTTTTGGGAATTTGAAAGGGCTCACTCACTTGGACTTGAGCCACAATGAGCTTGACGGTGAGCTTCCTCCATCTTTGTCAGGCATGCTTAACCTGGTGGGGCTTTATGTTCAGCGGAATAGACTCTCTGGTGGGGTAGATAATCTCTTCTCTAGTTCCTTTGCTTGGAAGATTGAAGTTGTCAACTTGAGCAATAACCTTTTTAATGGAAACTTGCCACAGTCTTTGGGCAATCTGTCATACTTGACGTACTTGGATCTCCATGGAAATAAGTTTACAGGAGAAATTCCTTCAGATATTGGCAATCTGATGCAGCTTGAATACTTTGATATATCGACGAACAGGCTATCTGGACTGATTCCAGAGAAAATATGTAGCCTGATCAATCTGTTTTACTTGAATATGGCTGAGAATAGATTGGAAGGCCCTGTACCCATAAATGGGGTTTGTCAAAATCTGTCAAGAACTTCACTTTCTGGGAACAAAGATCTGTGTGGGAGAATTGTGGGTTTAGACTGCCAGAAGAACTTCAGCAGATCCTCCTTGTTAAATGCTTGGGGTCTTGCTGGGGTTGTAGCTGGATGCACTTTTATCATTTTCACCATGGCCTTTGCTTTACGGAAATGGGTTAGAAGAAGCTGCAGGCAAAGTGATCCTGAGGAGATTGAGGAAAGCAAACTAAACAGCTTCATGGATCAAAATCTCTACTTTTTGAGTAGCAGCAGGTCAAAGGAGCCTTTGAGCATCAACATCGCTATGTTTGAGCAGCCACTCCTGAAACTGACGCTGGTTGATATTCTTGAGGCAACAAACAATTTCTGCAAGACAAACATAATCGGCGATGGAGGCTTTGGGACTGTTTACAAGGCTACTTTGCCTGATGGGAAGACTGTTGCAGTTAAGAAGCTTAGTCAGGCAAAAACACAGGGACACCGGGAATTCATAGCTGAAATGGAAACATTGGGCAAGGTGAAGCACCAGAATCTTGTGCCTTTGCTTGGGTACTGCTCTTATGGTGAGGAGAAACTCCTTGTTTATGAATATATGATAAATGGTAGTTTGGATCTTTGGCTGAGAAATAGAACTGGGGCTCTTGAAGTCCTTGACTGGTCCAAACGGTTCAAAATTGCAATGGGTGCAGCACGTGGAATAGCGTTCCTTCACCATGGCTTCATCCCTCACATCATCCATAGGGATATCAAAGCCAGCAACATCTTACTCAACGAAGACTTTGAACCAAAAGTTGCTGACTTTGGGTTAGCCAGATTGATCAGTGCATGTGAAACCCATGTCAGTACTGATATTGCTGGAACGTTTGGTTACATTCCACCAGAGTATGGGCAGAGTGGCAGGTCAACCATAAAAGGGGACGTTTATAGCTTTGGTGTGATTCTGCTTGAGCTGGTGACTGGGAAAGAGCCAACAGGTCCTGATTTCAAAGAGATAGAAGGTGGTAATTTGGTGGGTTGGGTGTCTCAAAAGGTGAAAAAGGGTCGAGCTGCTGATGTTCTTGATCCTGCCATTCTGAATGCAGATTCGAAGCAGATGATGCTTCAAATGCTGAGCGTTGCTGTGGTTTGCCTCTCTGATAATCCTGCTAATAGGCCTACCATGCTACATGTCTTAAAGCTCATAAAGGGTATGAAAGATGAGTAACTGTAAGCGTTTTAGCCTTTTAGGACTATTACTCTGAGGCTTCCTTCTTGTAATAAAGTACTTACAAAGAAGTTGGAATCTTTAAAGATGTATGGCTCTCAGCTTGCTACTAACCTGATGTAAAGTGCTTATCAAGAATTTAGAAGCTTTCAAGATGTAAGTGTTTTCGCTTGCTAATATAATCCTAATTTAGTTTTGACTCATCATATATACACTCTCTGTCGCATATATATATATTGCCATTCCAATTTAGACTGCTGTAGTCCATAGAATTGCTGATTTTTAGTTTCTACAAAGTTGATAAAGAGCTTTTGCAGATAAAACTTTTTAGAGAAACTGTATACACCTCTCTGAATCTCCATAGAACACTCTTCCCTTTTCCATTTTCATTCCCCTCTTTGAATGAATTAATCTGTGTCAGTTGTTGATAGCAACTTTTTAGGCTGTAACGTCATTTTATGGGTACTTCCCAGCAAATTGGTGCCATCTGAAATTAAGAACAGCTGTTTTCTGAAACATAACAGGGTCATTGACAAGAACAGAACAACAAGGAGGCCCCGTAAAGAGGAGGAAAACACTTGGCTTGTGACCCTATCTAGCTGTTTGCCCTGCAGACACCAAAATGGACAGGGTATTGGTCTTTTCTTTCTTTCATCAAGGAGGATAGAAAAATCTTAGATGCATGTTGGTCCCATGTGCAATGTTAATGGTTGGTGACCCTTCAGAAGTAATGACTTGTGTCACCCTTTATATCGGCCTAAAATTGCCATTTCTCCAACCAAATTAACCTGAAGTTTGAAGATTGAAGGGTGGAATTCCTATGCCTAATGTTGTGTTACCTAGCTACTTAATTTTATAAGAACCAATTAAATTTTGTCTTTGTTAAGTATAATAATTTGATTGGTTCTTGGAGATTTTTTTTTTTTTTTTTTATGGAGGTTCTCATAAAATTAAATAGTAGTATATCACATTAACATAGCATTAATAATGCATCCCATTAATAATGAACAGCTAAGCTAAAGTCTAATTATAAGTAGGGCCCGAGAAGTGCATTTCTGCTTATGCAACAAGTTCTACTGTTCTTTTACATTTTCTAATCAATTCTTCAATCTGCATACTTACCAAGGGTCAAGATGTGCATAACCTGTAGCACACTAGCACTCAAGAGTCAAGACGACAAAAGCTAGAAATAGGATATCCTGCCCCATAAGATTCTCGCTATCTAAAGAAATCTGTAGACGCCAAGCTAGGAAAATGGACTCACCACCAAGAGAAGAGTCCCCTTGGTAATAGAATGATTAGGGTCCATTTGTGTTTAAGATCTACACATTACCTAACATCTTTTCAAATCAGTCCAAAAAGAATGGCATGCGCATCCCTTAAATCATAACTTCCATTCCTATACCAACACTTTTAAATATCCTCTTTCCTTCCATTTTTTACGCTCCCTTCTTGTAATCATGCACCGCCTACAATGTCTAGCTTTGCCATGTCCACCATTCCCTATTATATATATTAGTCTATAATCTAATCAAATAAAAATTTGTGGTACATTCAATTCTAAATTAGAGTCTTCCTTGCACTTGGGGTCTTCGAGTTAGTAGGATCAAGTTATGTTTAAATGCATCTCTTATTTTCTTAAGTAATAATTCAAATTCGACCTCTTACAAAATTATTTAAAAAAAAAATTAGAAGTGTAGTTCCCACTTCTCAAGGCATGCTTTCATTTCATCTGGCATGCTTTCATTTCATCTGCCTAGATTAAGTACACTCTTTCAAACCACAAGAGTTAAGTGCACATTTAAGCGATTAAGTGCACTTTCATTATACTGATGGAAATGATTATGAGAAGATTACAAAACCAATAC